TGACAAATGGAGACTACAAACGATTAGCAAAAGCGAAACAAGGGAAACTGACAATGCGAGTCTCTACACATGACCGCAACACAATACCTCTCCGTCTGCCGCATCACTTTCCGTCCGTTCACACATCTATCTCCCTCCCTCCTCCTCGTATCCTTCCTTCCCCCAGCTCTCCCCACTCACACACGTCGATCGGTCCGTCCGTCTTTCGCAGCCACCTCCCGCCTCGCCCCCGCCCGCCTCCCCCCCCCCCCCCGCGACCGCCGCCACGACACCTCCTCCTGTCAGACTCCCGCAAGCGACGAGTGGCTCCCATGCGGGACACGACGCGCATCCTCGCCCCCGCCCGCCTCCCCCCCCCCTCCACGCGTCTTCACCATCCACTTGGGGAAAACGAGTGTATTACCTACCTCCCTTCTTACCTTCCTTGCCCTTCTTTCTCCGTCATCCCACTTTTCTCGGGCGTCCCTCCCTTCTCTTCTCTCTCCTTACCCGACGCGCTCCGCCCCACCATCGCCGCCATGACCTCCATGGCTCTTTTCTTCATGTTCACTGCTCCGGACGACGAAAAAATTCCGCTGCCTCTCCCTGTCCCGCCTTCGTCGTCTCTATCTTTCAGCTTCTCCTTTCGCCCGGATGCAGACACCAAAGCTACCGCCTGATCCTGTCGAGATCTTCCCGCCGCAGCTCGGTCCTCTCCATCGCCCATACTGTCGGAGCTTCTGCTCGGGCTCAGAACGCTTGCCGCCCCGTCATTCCCCCCCCCCCCCCCTTCCCTCTCCCGCTGCCTATCTGCCAGTCCCGACACAATCACACCATTCTCCTCCCTGTCCATTCGCCTTCCGGCTTTGGCGATTGTAGGTGCAGCAGCAGCGGCAGCAGCGGCATCCTCCGAGCCACTGCCGTTCCGCAGCTGCGATGATCCCGAAGCCTGGGAGATCCAAGATATCCGCTGACTGCTAGCACCATCACTGTCATTGCTCATAGATCTCCGCCTTGCACTCTCCCTCTCCTTCTCCTTTGGTTTGTCCCTCCAGCTCGGGCTGTCGCATTCGTCCCTGCTTGACCCGGTTCCCTGCCTCCCGCCGCTGGCGCTCTTTCTCTCTGTGCGCTGGGTTTCCCTCCCGCCTTTCGTCTCCTCCTGCGCTCTTTCCTTCGATTTCACCCGCACAGGCTTGTTACTCGAAGCCTCTTCCCTCCACTCCCGACCACGGCCGGTCAAAATAATCGACCCTCCTCCCACCCTCTCCCTCCCCTCCGCCCTCAACAGCTCAACGGCAACACCGCCTCCGCGATCGAGATTGCCCTCCCCCGCCTCCCCACCAAGGGACAAGCTGTCACTGCTGGAGCCGACCTTCACCGCCGTTCGGGTCTTCAGCCCCAGAAGTTCATTCCTCCTTCCCCACCGGTCAACAGCCCCTCTGCCTTTGCCCTCCCCTGCGTCGCTCCCCCGCCCTTCCTCTACTTCCCCCCCCTCCACCCTCCTGCCCCGTCGGAGCTGAAGCTCCGGCAGCGCCTCGGCGGCAAGAGCAATCCTCTCCTGCTGCTGCTGCTGCTGCTGCCGCGCTTCGCCCCCCCCCCCTCCCTCTCTAGGTCCCTGTCGGTCCCCACCCCTCGCAAAGCTGCCGCTACTACTGCTCTCGAGACCCGGAGCATCTCTCTGGCGCAGAACGACACTACCGCCATCGCCTCCTCCTGCGCCAGCCAGGCGATCATCGCCTGTCCTCACCCGGCTAGCAGACCGTCCGTCTCTCCCTACAGACCCCCCCGAGTCTCCATTGCTGCTCTGCGAAGGCCCTCCTTCGCCTTCGCTCACCGTCATATCCTTCAACGACGCCTCCAGGGCCTCTCTATACATCGCGTCTTCTTGATCTATGGAGATTGGAGTCGGCGCAAATCCCTCAGCACAGCCACCGGATCCGCCATCCGGTAAAGAGGAGGCAGAGGACGAGCTCGACCGCGTTCGATTCCGAGACGGCAGGCCTGACGATGGCACCCCTCCTCCTCCTGTAGACGGCGACGGCGAGGAGGCAGAGCTGATCGCTAGAGCAGATTCGGGGGAGTTCTCAGAAACGCCCATGCTCGACAAGATCTCGCGCAGCGCGTCCTCCTCGTCCTCGCCGCCGTCCATATCTCCATTCACAGTAGGAATCTCCGTTCTGCTCATCGTCCATCGCCTATGCAGCCCTCTGGAGGACCGATGACGAGTTGCACCAGCGGCAGCAGCAGCAGCAGCAGAAGCAGCACCAGCGGTAGCACCTCGTCCAACCCCCCCTCCTTCCTCCCTTCCTGCTCTAGTGATAGTTGCCCCTCCTTCTCCTCCCTCAAGCACTACTTCCTCCTCGTCGTCGTCGTCGTCATCATCTTCTGCCACACCTTGCGAGTTAATCAGCAGTTCATACAACGTGGCCTGATCTACCAGCGGCTCCGTGCCGGGATCGTCCTCATCCACATAGTCTGTGAGCGAGCACCCAGGCAGATCAGGCGGATTGAGTACGTTGTAGAAGAAAATGCTGATGGAATCGTAGTAGAACTGCGGGCGCTGAGAGTTGTGATCGCCCTCGAATTTGATGATGTTCTTGTCGCCCGCGTAAGCGGAGTAGATGTCCTCGGAGTGATGAGGAAGAATGAACGCGTCTGAAGTGGCATGGCCGAAGAGTGCGGGAATGAAACACTGCGGGGCAAGCGCCAGCGTGTCCAACTCCATGATGTCGAAGCCCGCCTTCTTCTGAATCGCCCGTTTCATGTACTGGACGACCATTTTGACCGTGAATTTGGGTACACGGATGCGATACATATCGACGAGTTCCATCATCAGGTCATTCAGGCGGGAGAAGGGGCTGTCGAGGACCAACCCCGCCACGCTGGGGTACATAGCACCAAACATCAAGCTCGTTACGGCTCCCATGGAACGGCCCCAGAGGCCGATATTCGACGTCTTTCCCTCCGCCCTGAGGTGGGACACAACACAATCCAAGTCGTCCCGCTCATACCATCCCAAGCTCACGTAGTCGCCCTCCGAAAGCCCCGAACCTGAAAAGTCGAGAGTGAAAACGGTGATATTACAAGGAAGGAGGACCACCACCGCCTCGTTCGCGTCCGCCCTACACCCGCTATTCCCGTGGCAGTAGATGACGCAAGGCTGTTGCACGTCCGGTGGTGGCCACGGCATATAATGACTGCAGACTAGAAGATGACCTCTGGCATTCACCAGCTGTAGGTCGACACGCTTATACTTCCTCCCCTTCAGGTTGAAGATAGGACCGAGGAGATCGGCGGCGGGGGTGTACTCCGCCCTCGGAGGTCTGATCACAAAATTGACCAACTGTTCCATCATCTTCACAGAACGACAGAAACACAACCACTGCTTCTGACTGCCAACTTTCTATACGTCTCCTCCTCCTCCTCCTCCTCCTCCTCCTCCTCCTCCTCCTCTTTCTCTTCCCCTATCGCTCACGAACCACCACCTCTATCTATTCTCCTCGGTTGTTAGATGACAGAAAATGTTGATGCTTCCGTGCCCCTACTCTGGCATGCGGCCTTCCTTTTCGCTTATTGCTCCGCCTTGTCAATCCGCCGCTCAACTCTTCCTTCCTGCCCAGCTACCCCACCTCCTCTTCCCCTACAATTCAGGACCCTCCTCCCCTCCTCTTCCCCTACCGTTCAGGACCCTCCGACCCTCCTCTTCCCCTTCCGTTCAGGACCCCCTCCACTTCCCTCTACCTTCTCCCCTCGTTAAATGAGGGAAAATGTTTACATACTTTCGCATGGAACGGCTGTGGCATGCGGCCTTTCTCGTGTACCGTTTAAATTTGTCGCTACAATCCACTGCCTTCGCCCTCACGTTTATCTATCTACAGCCCTCTCCATCGCTACTAGGTCGTCCTACCAGGAATGAGTGACGTCAGCCCTTCCCATTCCCGTCATAGTTGTACCCCAGCAGCAATCGCAGCGCGGCAGCTTAGTCTCCGAAGGAACACGGACAAAACACAACAAACGAGTAACAGTGTACTGCCGGTTTGTCTCTCTAAGAGAACCCGAAGAAGAAGAAAAAAAGGTGATACCGCCGACAAAAAGGCAATTGATTGCGCGGAGGTTGTTGTTCCATGCCCAGCGGCACGTACGCAATTCCTCGTTTCTGTCAGCTGCCAATCGCTGCCCGTCTCTTATTTCAGCTACCAACCTCTACCGGCCTCTGACTCATGTCCGCTCACCACGTGTCCAAGGACTCGAAATCTGTCTTGCCCAGAACACACGCGAAAGATGTTTGGCCTCAGCTCAAAGCCCAGCACTCTGATTGGCTTCGCGATCTCTCCCCCGTTTCCCCAATCTTCTCTCCAGATTCTTCTGTGTCTTCTGTTCACCCACCAGTGCCATGCGATTGGAGTGGATCGCCGTGTGTAACGCTGCACCGCATCTCGATCTAGTCACGCCCAGAGACCGCCAAGTACCCGCCGCAATCTTCCCCTACCACCCAGCAGCGGTCGGACGTAACACCCTGCACTACTGTCACCACATTTCAACACATCGAAAACACAACGATCCTTACGATCACAACAACCACTAACATATCGCCATCCTCTCTCTCTCTCTCTCTCTCTCTCTCTCTCTCTCTCTCTCTCTCTCTCTCTCTCTCTCTCTCTCT